ATTTACTGGCATACACTACATTCTAGACTTATAAAGCAGGTTAAAACAAAGTGAAAACTCTGTGAGATATAAATAATTTACACAAGACCGAAGCTATTTCAAAGTCACTGAGGAGACTGAAATCAGTATTTGTCAAATCCAACATATATGTTCAGCGTTAACCTGCTGTTGCGAATGCCTTTGGAGGAACATTGGTTCTTTCTTGAGACGACGCTCTGCAGCTTTTCTTCCCAGCCACTTGCTCTTCAATTTACATGATTCCTGTCTCTCGGTGTTATCATTGTGTGAATTGTTTCTGCATGTTTTTGTGCTTTAACCAGAGATAGGATTGAATTTCCCATGTAAAGACAACATGCCTGTATCAGTGTTTGGATTTCACTCTCACTAAATCAGCATCAGCTGCTTGTTGTTTTTTTCTTTCTCATTGAAGTCCTTTGTTCTATGAATTCAAACATCATGTATTGATTCGCAGTGACTGCAGTCATTGTATTACATTCATGCCATGCTGTTGAATAAATGCATTTGCTCACTTTTCCATCTCTGCAAATGTTTCACCTTATATGACTTTTCTAGCTGCAGCTTTTCCTTTTCATTTCATCTTAACAAGTACCTACCATGTTATATTGTCAGCATTCTGAATAGTGATATTATTCAATAAGTTTAAATTCAAATTTTTGTCTTGTGAAACAATTACAGTTTCTAGTTCATTTACTGTAGTTTATAACCATAGTTCTCTGATGAAAGTGAAAAATGTGCATATATTTTATGTGGCAGAATTAACCTGAACAAAAATCTGTGGAGTCGTTTGACTGCAGCCATGTTTCCATCAATTGTTCAATTGTTGGGAAATGAAAAAACTCCTACACAGGACCTTTTGCTGGGGTTAATTTCCATCCTGGTAATTTGAAGTCCTGACGCAGATTCAGTGGAATTGACCCGAGGCCTGTGGCAAAAATAAGTTTGTGCTATTGTTTGGCGGCCTACTCATTGAGTTTGCAGCATTGAGATCATTAGGAAGATTACTCTATGTTAGCGGGCGGACAGGCTTTGGTTGATTCTTTAGGACAGGTGACTCATTTCCAACAGCTTCGAATGTCACCAGGATTCACAAGGACTCGCCAAGTGCACCGGGTTACAGCATGTACTCTGCAAAATCTTCTGAGGACAGCCTGTGTGAGCTGTGCTACTGATACAGCTGAGTTGCAGGTGCTCAGCTTTGAAAACTGGCGCGAAATCCTCAAATAGTTAAAACTCACAGCTTCAATTGGCATCTGATGTTTGTCCATGGAACTAACTATCTTCCTATTCATCAGATAATTCAGAGAGTACAGCTTTGAATCTTATTTGTCAGTCACTGACTGAGCTCAGGCGGTACGTTTCTTCGCAAATAATAATGGCAGCTATGCACGATGGCCACTACGTCCAAAATGAACATTTTCTTAATGACAGTCCTCCAGTCAGCCCTGCTTGTCAGCGCTGAAGAAAGGCAGCACAAACCAATACACTTTATTTCACAGTACATGTGAAATAAAGACTAACTGAATCAAAACTATTGCTGCGTCTTGGTTCATCTCTTTGGGAACAATAAAACAGCTGAAATGTGACTGAGGCTGTGCAGAGGGCAGGATGGTGTCTAACAGCTTACATAGAGCTCAGGCTGACGTAACATTTCAGGGCTGCCAAAAGTTAGACTTAAAGAGAAATTGTGGACACTGGGGCTGAAAATAGACTCATTTACTGCTATGAAAGCAAGAGAGGGCTGACCAGTGAAAAACGTCAACATTTAAGAAAAAGTTAAAAAAAAAAACTATTTTAATTGTGGAAATTGTCTATTCAGATAATTCCAGGAATTTATTTTTATTTTTATTATTATTATTATTATTATTTTGAATGCTGGAGAAAAGTTCAGTTCCGTTAAGTCTAATTGTACGGTGACAAATTCCAACCAAATGTCAGCCTGAAGCACTTAACAAAAAAATCAATGAAAGGTCCATTATTCATGTGTTCGCAACTCAAATGAAGGTTTCACGGATCACAAAACATGTTTTAAAAGTTCTAGTAGAATTCCAGTAGAAAATTATGTTTGAAGTATCTAAGTATTAAAGTTTTGAAACTAGAGAAAATTAAAGATGATCAAGATAAAACTTGGTAGATGCAAAATAAATAATATCAAGTCAGAAGCTGCAATTGGAAGGTCTGCATTTTGCTAAATGTTTATGCGTAATTTCTTGTTGAATTGCAGAAAACTCTGTCAAAAGAGCAAATGTAAAGTTATCGGCTGTAATTTGCTTTTGCCAACCATTCTTGTTGGTAAAGTTCCTTACACAGCTTCAATAATAACAGAAACAAAAGTCATGACTTTTGCTGTTAATGACCTAAAAATAAAAATATGATTGTAAATGAGTTTTTATTGGGATTCAGTTTGGATCCACTTGTCAGCACTAAAAAGCAGATAAAACAGCAACCATAGAAACCATAATTCACAGACGCCATTTCAGATCTGCCCAAGAAGTGTTTATAAATAGAAAACCTTTATTGCCATTGCACTGAAATAGTACAAGATTAGTAATGCAACTCGATGGTACGCTGTGAGACGTTCGCAATGAGTGCAGGACTCACAGCTAGGACGGCGTTCTCAGGGTAGCAAGCATTCCTTTTTTTTCCTCCAAATGTAACAATGATCTTTATGACCCAACAGTTCCACTTTAGTTTCATCAGACAGAAGAAAAAAAGTACATTTTTAAACTGCAATCTGGGTTCTGTATGCTTCTTGTGGAGGAATGGCTTCCTCCTGCAGAATAGCCTTTCTACGTATGTACAGCCATATTTCATAGTGGATAATGACTCTGTCTCATCAGTTTCAGTCAGCATCTTCACAAGGTATTTTGTTTTTGTTTTTATTAGCAAATTACATTTCAAAACCTGCTTATCTCCGGCACACGGAACCAGTCTCCTTTTTCAATGGTATGACTATTGGCACATTCCTCGTTCTCTTATTATTATGGCATTTAACAAATAGAAATAATTTCAATAATTCTAAGAGTGGTCTGATTATTAAAACTCAGAAAAAAAATCTTGTTGCTTCAATGAGCCAGTTTTTAATTTTTTTTTTTTTAAATGTCTTAATTATAAGGTCAAAAAAAATGCAGCTATTAAGAAAGAAAAAATGTTTTATGCTTTTATATTCAAGCTATATAAACATTTGGTTTCAAATGCATGTGGTGACACATGAGACAATAAGGGTCAATGTAAATTAGAACCAAATGAAAAAAACCTGGGAAATATCTTAGGATGGTCTTCCCTGCTCAGTTGTGCAAAACAAGTTCAACATTTCTATTGAGCCAGTGGAGAAAACCTGCATGTGAGTATTTGAAACAAGAAAAACAATAACAAAAGAAAGTGAATCCATCTCCTGCTCTGATGAACAGCAGACGCGCAGATAAGGCACAGGACACGGCGTGCATGAACGTGAACAGACTGTCAATAAATGAGCTGACGGAGCCGCGGAACTGAAAACAGGAATGTTGCCGTCATACATGGAGGCATAGATCAATCTTAAGGCCACGTTTTCTACTGGCGTTCAATATTGTCATGAGCGGTGTGTCATCAGTGAGCATTGAGTTTCCACATCACAGGTGATCAGTAGAGAGAAGCAGCAGAAACAGAGATAAAGCTGAAACCTTTAAGACATCATTCTTGGTCTTTTTTTTCATTCTTAAGAATAAAATTGTTGCTCAGAGTCCGGTCACAAGGCTAAATTAGTTGATCTTTAAAAAGTTTTTCTGAGTGAGTCTCTTCAGATCAACGTTAACAAAGGAGTAATTACATGATTCCATTAAAAAATGATTTGTATGTGTTTCGTCTGATGCAATACAGATCTGAGTATGTATTTAATAACGTTGAACACTTTCTAAATCACTGTTACTTACTGCCACCTAGTGGTCAAAATAACAGCAGGACTGTGACTGTTTCCTACAGGTGAAGCAAATGATCCAAGTGCATAAATGATGTCTCAGGGACTCTTTAGAGTTTGTTCTTATTTTGTCCTTCTGTCAGTATTTTTCAGCAAGTAAAAGCAGATATTTATTGCCATCAGTCTTTATCCAGCTGAACCAAAATTCATCATTGGAACATAAAGAAGATTTACTTTAATGTCTAGATGTTTTAGCCTTTTCATTGTTCAGAAAAATGAAAGAAAGAAGGACAAGAAAAAAAAACTCTCTTTATTTATTGTCAAGGTGAAAACTGATTTCTTCTGAATAATGACAATGAAATAAAACAGTGAATCATAAAATAAGTGCTTGCATAAATGTTAGCATCCCTGCCAGTCAGCATTCGTTAGATGGACCTTTGGCTGCAGTCACAATAGGAAGTCTGTGTTGATTGTTCTCAGTCAGGCTGTGCATCCGGTCTGCATCTTATGTCATTCTTTCTGCTAAAATATTCAGACTCTGTCAGGTTAGATGAGGATTGTGTAGCCCAGCCACAAATTCTCTATGAGACTGTGTTCTGGACTTTTGACTGGGCCAATCCTGAACACCCATCTTTTTGTCTTCAAACCATTTCATGACTTTTTTTTTTTTTTTTGTGACTTCTTTCCTGACTTACATTGACCCTAACCGCTCTTGCATATATAGTATTGATCTCCTGGATATTTTGTAGTATTATGATATTTGTAGTACTTACACATTTTTCTCCCAATTATTAGTGGCAACTCAACCAGAGGTCTCTGCAGAGCATGTGAAAAATAACCAAGACCCTGAATGACACATGTTGCGGTAGTGCTGAGAAGTTTTTTCATTGTGTGTGTTAGTACGTTTTAAAATATATTCTTTGTTTGCACTACTAAGAGCAAGATTAATTTAGTCACCAAAAGGCCACTCCAGTCTTCAGAAGGTATGTTTCAACAGAAACATACCTTCTGTAATAAATAATACACAATAAATAATATGAACAAATAATCAAACAGACAGAAAAATATCTCAGACGCAAAGTTGTGCTGTTCAAATGTTGTAATTATAAAAACATTTCACATTTTTGAGTCGTTCAATAAGAAAAAAACATTTTCACAGCTTCCATTAAAATCAACATACTCCACAAAAACAAATAAATATGCAGTTGAACAAAATGGTTTTATACATTTGATTTTCTGAGCTAGGAGACAGAGAAAAGCACAAGTAAAGTGATTTACAGATATAGGTGAAAATAATTGTCCGCCATCCGTTGAAGGGTGTCAAGGTCACTCATAACACGAGGAGAGAACACAATAACGACACAGATCCGCACAGTGGGTCACAAACAGGAGAATGACAGCAAAGATTACCAGGACTTTTGAAATTACACAGCTGGTTTAAAAATTTAAGTGCAAGATATCATAAATAAATTATTTGCATAAATATGTTGATACAAAATAAAGCACAACAGTCAATTTGCAAAGCTGCTTTGGCACGATTGGAGAGTTACAGTACTGAAATAATTAGGTCCAAACGCAAAATGCACTGTAGAATTAATTGTATGTTACCAATGTGCCCCATCTCTTTCAGGTCTAACATCATTCAGTCAAGATCAGGGCCCACACAAAACAATTTCCCTTATGAAATAAAAGATGGATGTCTTGGGATTACTCAGACTGGATTTTCATGTGTCTATCTGCCTGGGTTCGGGTATTATATTTGATTGACTTTGGTTTCACTGAAACTACTACTGAAGAGGAATCCCTTTGAGTTTTTAAATGAGAAAGGCTGTGTCATACTAAATAACTAAACAGCCAAACACTGACGCAAAATCCCATCGTTCCATTTAGGGTCAGGTACTGAAGTGCAGTTTGCTGCAGATAACTTACAGAATTGTGCTGAATGTCCAAGCTGGGGTTTACTGTGATTTTCTTTTATCAGATATTGTCTTATGTTTTGCTAAACACAGTTATTTAGAAAGTCATAGGAATCAAAATTTGTACTAATTTGGGTTCAGAAAATATTTTATTTTTATTTCATTTGTTGCCCATAAAAAATCTCTAAAAAAATTCCGTACATGTTTCTTCATAACCTTTTAGCTCCTACGTCTAAATAAATACATTTTCCTGAAAGTAAATCAATTGTAGATAACATTTAAAAAAATACATGTGCATTTTATTTGACATAACATCGGCCAGCATGTTACTATACATGCTAGATTTTGGGTTTATTCTCTTCAGCCCAGACATTCATGTGCCATTGTATTCAGATCCATCAAAGAAACATTATAGGATAAAGAGTGCCATCTAGTGGGACATTGTCAAATTAAATTATTCACAGGAAGTTCCCACCTTTCATCCAGAGGCGTGGCATTAACATCCCATATCTAACATAAACACATACAGAGCGCTTAAATTCAAAGTATTATGCAAAGATATTCAGGCGGCGGGCGATTCCAAATGTTTATAGCCTGAAGAATAAAACTTTGGGATATTTAGGTATTTCCATCCAGCCTTGGCAAGGCTATCCATATGTGTTTTGAGTCATGTTGTTTAAATCACATATAATGTATAACATAAGCTATTGTTACAAAATATCAATTTGATGTTTGATCCTAATTCATGAACCTCTGGTGAAGTTTGACTAGTATTTGGTTGAATTTCTTGTTTAAATCCACCGTTTTGCTGTTGGTATTTCTCTACACACAGTTGTACAATCTCTTTAAAATAAGATTGCACTAACGACCATTGTCAGCTGCTAAATAGAGCAACATAGGTTAAGTTCACACAACTGGTAAATGTGATCGAATCCGCTTGTTTTGCCCAGTGCGACTTTCATCCGACTTTTTGAAAAAGATCTACTTGTGCCTCTCCCCATGTGGAACTAAATCGGATTAGAACCCGATTGTTTTCAAAGCATCTGCAGTCTGAACAGTCATGTTCACTTTTATGTCATTGATGAATGACAGGCGTCATGATTCTGCATCAGCAGAAGCCAAAGTATCACTACCTTTGAGTCCAAAATCTCTTGTACTGTTGCTTTCAAAAGTATTCATGTGCTTCTCAAGGTGAAAATGCATTTGCTTGTGCTATTCATCTGTGATGATAGTCGATGTGCACATCATCATTTATTTGCTATTGAAAGACAGACCTTTTGACCAGATTTCACAAATTATCCAAAGAAAAGAAACTCAAAGCTTGACATGGAGGGATAGATTCTGAAACCCTACAGCCTGTCAGGACAAATAAGCAAGACATCACATCCAAATTCTCTTCTCTTCATAATAATGCAAGCAATATTTCCAAAGGTGCAAGTGCAAAGACTGAAAAAGAAAAACGCTCACAACTACACAAGCCGAATTTCTTGTGAGTGACTGACCGGTACAAACGTTTGACTGAAGTCACACTGAATAAAAAGGCACATGGCAGCCTGTTTGGAGATTTCCAGAAGACCCGGCCGTGCTCTCCAAGAACAACACAACCCATTAGAATGTGGCTTGATCAAGGCAAATTTGGAAAATGTCCTTAAGTGAAGTCATTCATGCCACTGATACAACTGTATCACTTCACAATAGCAGAGACTTTGTAGAACGGTGCTGTGAGCATTAAGCGAAGTGCTGGGAGATAATGTGATAACACTGCCATTGTGATGAGGTTGGAGTCTGACTGAGACCACCATGGCAGAACTCCCACAGCTGTTTTTATGCTCTGCGACTCGGCTCCTTTGATTCAAATGTTTTATACCTTTAGAAAACACTCTGACTCTACCATGCACAATGAGGAGCAAACTGTTTTAATCCCTTTTAGAGACTGTGGGAGCTCTCACTAAGAGAGACTATCCACAGTCTAGTTGAATTAACACATCCTTGAAATTTTCTGTTCTCCCTGAAGGCATCCTAAGAGCATTGAAAGGTCAGATATTTGATTTGCACCAACAACACATCCAAATAGCTGCTGATGGATCCTATCCAACAAATTTCCCCTGCAATTATCATCCCAAGAATGAAGCAAGCTAATGGTAGATGTTTGCTCTGGGGTTCCTTTGGGACACAGATTTCATAGCAGAGGGCAGAATTGTCATAATCATTTGTGAAAATTCTTGAAGCTAAACTACTTCAGACTACGACTATAAAAGGGGACAAGAGACAATGTAATGGCTCGACACACGAGGGATGACGAACAACAGTGAAAGACAAACTTTTCCGCCACTCGTGGCAAAACCCAACACACAGGACACAGTAGCGGCGACTGCCAGAAAAGTTGAACATTATTATCTTTCTTGTGTCATGTCACAAGCCCGTGTGTGAAGGTTTACATCTATGTATGAGCTCAAGATTTTCCATGAGCATTTTGCCATTAATGTGCCACAAGAAAGGCGAGTCAATGATGCTCTAAGCTCAACAGGAGATGGACAGAGACGGAGTGATGTCATCTCCTTTGTGTTGCTCCCTCAACAGAGTGTACACTCAAGAGAAAGTTGGAGACAAGGCCCCTGAGCTGTAAGAGTCCATTAAAAGTTCAGAGTTAAACATAACAGATCAATAATTTTCTCTGGCGTAAGAATGAATCTTATGTTACCACCCAACTCAATCAGAGTGAGGCAGAATCTGTCAGGAAGACTGGAATCAGATGTTAATATCCAAATGTGCAAACTTTCTAAAAACACTCTAATGTTTTTTGTTTGTTTTAGGAAAAATATCTAGCAGCCTTCAAAAAGGGATGTATCGTGTAAGCTAACCAATAAAATGGTAAGAATATGAATGTTGCATTAAAGTGTTGAAAGCACAATAGCGGTTCAATACTTTCTCTGGCGTAAGGATGCTCTGCTTTACTTCTTATGATAAGAAGAATGTTTGACTACATATTCACTGGCCTTAATGTTTCTTGCAGCATCTTGAACATGGCTTTAACTGTTCTTAGAAAACCGATCATATCTTCCAGTCAGTCGCTGTAAAACAACACATAGGAGATTCCTTTTCTACTCTTCCAAAAGCATAAAATGTTTCTGTGAAGAGTCTAATCGATCTTTGACAGATGGTGTTAAGATGATACACACACCATCGCAGCCGGACTTGAAGTCATTTAACTCATCAGATCTGAGTTATTTTTAGAGATGAAAAGCTCAGAGAAATAACTTTGTGAGGCTTTTTCTGAGTCAATCATACATACATGTCATAAACACATGCAGTCCAAGCACGATTTCATTCTTCAAGAGCAGCATGTTAGAAGTGCTACACACCCTGTCTGGGTGTATGTTATGTGCATTTGTGCATGAAGGCATCCTGGGTATTTTTTTGAAATACACAAACAGAAACTCTGTATTTGGAATGGAGGGTCTAAGATGTCATAACCTGGCATGCAGGTTGATAATGACGCCATCTTCTGGCAGATCTTTGATTGGCAGGTCACTTGTGTGCTCTGTTCCCTGCTCTGTGCTCTCGCAGCTGGTTTGAGGAGACTCTGGAGGCGGCTGGTAGAGAACGCTGGCAATGAGGAAAAAGATGGTACCCAAAAGCTGAAACAGAAAACCAGTGTTAATTACTGCCTTTCAGCAAAACAATATCACACACACTACAAAAAAATTGCATCTGGAGCATCTGGGAGGTATATCTCCTCGATGCTATCTAAGAGCACGACTTTCTTTTTCTCCCAAATCATGACCAATTGAAGTGGATCTTCTTTATCAGCGGGAATTGCAGACCACAACCACCTATAAGTCAGCAAATACTTGACAAACCTTATAAGAACACTGATAATTGCCTATTTTAATAGTTGACGCACCAAACATTCCTTAATTTGCATGAATACACACAGAAGAAACCATCTTGTGCTACCTCAGAAGCCAATATCCACAGTCTTTGTTAGCTCTGCTCTTGGGTTTACATCCAATGAGTGCCAAGGAAAATGAACCGTGCTTCTGGACTGGCTGGTTTGCGAATGCTAGCCAATGGTTTATTGAGTAGGAATTTCAGATTCCCAAGCTGCATTTTCTTACAAATGTTTATGTAAAGAAATGTGTGGATTTTCCACGAATAATTTCTAGTTACTTTCCACTAAAAAATCTAACAGCTGGATCTGTGAATACTGAAGCATGAAAAGGCACAGGTCCACTGTAATGTCTATCATTATCTTCCTTGAAATTATTTTTTTTTAATTATAAGTCTATATTCCACTGTAATCAATACAAGCAAGGTTCTTTTGAAAAAAGACTTTCACTCATGTGAAAACTGAGCTGTCCTCATCTCCTCAAGTGGGAACACAATTTGACAGAGAGACTCTGCAGCTGCTGTCCTCTCATGTAGAAGTTCACCTGAACTATGATGGCTGATAATCAGCACAGAGAGAGATGGTGCTGGAAATGTAAATCGATTATCTGATGGGAGGCATCGCTCCAGAACCATAGTGAGGAACTATCATTTGTTCTGTGCCACTTTCTTTCATTGTTAACATCTTCAAAGTGAAATGGTGTCTGAGTAGGAATATTACCTTGAAGATGATTCCTGCGACAAGTGTGTATTGACTCATGGCTGAGTTGTGATAGATGTGGCAGGAGCCTTGAGCGCCACATTGATCTTCCCACAATAAGCAGGAAATATCAATCACTGAGCCAAATGCAATTGGTCCTGGAATACTGCCTGTATGGAAACGATTACAGTTTTTTTTGGTTGCAACTTCGAGACGTAAGGCATACTCAGAGAAAGAATTGGACCTACCAAGTGTGCGCACCACTATCCACTGGATGCCAAGAGCAAACGATCTCTGACTATCAGGAACACACCTGGACAGAAAAGGGTTGGACAGATATAAAGACAAACTTCAACTCAAAGTTCAGTTCATGGCTGCCTGAGTAAAAGTCTGCTTTTTGTTAACTCACATCCAAGGCTGTGACTTTTAGGCATAAACACTTGTAGACTATTGCCTTAAGTTTACCTCTAACACTTTCTTAAGGGCTCAGCATGGCCAAACTGCTGCTCACATGATGGTCACATCATTTTCGGACATTCGCTTTTGCACAGACCCTTCACAGTGTACAACGGGGTTTACTGCAGCGAGAAGGGTTTCACAGGAGTCAAGCTCCTGTAAATGTTTTACCATGTGTTCAGAAAGTGGACTATTACAAGTTACCCAGGGGAGGTTTGACAAGCAAGGCCAGGTGAGAAAATGACGTGATTTTCAACATGTACCTGCAACAATGAGAATTGATTTCAGCAATTCAATGTAACCACACATAGAGCCCACCAGTGTCCTCTAATGTATTTGATGCATTTACTAAATGCCCCAGGATTTACACTAAAAGCTCTTTCCTGCTATCTAGTGATTAAAACACTCGATGGCAGATTATATTAGATTTTTTCTCATTTTCACCCTGATGTGCGATGTCAAGTAAACCATTTCTACTGAATTTAGCATCTGCTTAACAAAAGCGTCCTTCTGTTGTTCTGACACATACCTGAGAGTGGCAGTGAGAGCTGGGATGCTACAGAGAAAGGTGAAACAGATGATGACGAAGAGCAAGGAGAGGAAGACTGGCATGTGGTGGCAGGAGCTGCTGCACTTCCCTGTCAGAGCGAAGCCCTCCTCACCCCACGATACGTTCCCCACCACACAGCCACACCCAGAGTACACCTGAAACATAGACACAAGCTTGGTTATACTGTTTTTCATCGACCTCTTTGTTTTGTTTTGTTTTTTTCCGTTTGGATTTTGAGAAAATGTTTATTTTTCAATAAGGTTTTGCTACATGTCTCTTATTTAAAAAGGCAGGTTTCTTATTTTTTCTGTTCCTTTTCCAAAAATGGGCAATTTTGTTAGAAACATGTAAATGTGAACTAACATTTTGCTAACTAAATATGAAAACTGAGAAGTTCTATGAAAATGTGAAGTTACATCTGTTTATCTAACTTCACATTTAACTAAAAAAAATAACATTTGCATTTCCCTAAATATAGATTCTGTGGGAGAGCTTTGTATTTTGTTTCAAAGAGCTCTCTTCCTCTTGCAAGGATTGCTACATGTTTTCAATAAATAAGCAGATTCTTATTTCAGCAATTCAACTTAACCACACATAGAGCCCCCCAGTGTCCTCTAATGTCTTTGATGCATTTACTAAATGCCCCAGGATTTACACTAAAAGCCATCTAGTGATTAAGACACTAGATGGCAGGAAAATGGGTTAAGGTTAATTTTTTCAGAAATATGCCACTGTGGAGTACAATTTCTCTGAAGTTAGAAAGGCAGAGCAAAACACATAAATTAAAAGATGAACATTGACGTTTCTCCAGATATAAGTGCTGAAGAGAAAGTGACAACTTTCTAGCCTACTGATCAACTCTGCCACACATGAATGTCTAAACACAACAGACATTCAAATATCTGCAGGTGATTCTGAACTGCCTCAGTTGTCGTCGGGGTCAAGTTCTTTCAAGCATCAAATAAAACAAGCAGTGTGTACTGCACCTGTCTGCCTGTGGACGGTTCTGTGTGGTTGATGGAGGTGCAACCGGCGTGGCACGGCGAGTAATACATCACCCCGTCCGCTCCACACACCGGGTTGTACACTTCTCTGGCACAGTTACAAGCTGCATTACAACTCACAGTGAGGTTCATGTCCAGAGAAGAGCTGCAGAGAGAAGCAAAGGAAGAACGGCGGGAAGATACAGATAGTGAGAAACAGGAGGGAGCAGAGAAGAAGGAATTTCACCAAATCTGTTTAAATTTGGCTAGTGCCATTTTATTATGTGATCTAGCGGATAGGAGGAGAATAAATGTGGCATAGCATTTTAAAATCACGTGTACTGGATTTTCTGAACACACTCTGACATTAGACTAACGTTGTGTATCAGTACTGAGATTTCATGTACACACTGAAAGTACGTATGCTCAAGTAAAAGTAGCAGTACTTCAACATACTTTTGCTTAAACACAAGTAAATAGAAACTATCAATGAAAATACTCAAGTAAGGGCAAAAATTTATTTGGTTAAAAGGCTACTCAAATAAAAAAGACAGAGAAAACACAAGGTACGTGCAAATTCTGGTATTTTATTAAAGATTTAAAACAATACAAGCAATAAAGTAGTAGCGTAAATCTAATTAATAGTCTATTCCATGAGCTGTGCCAATATGATTCCTTAGAATGTGAAGTTGTTGTTGTTACAAAATGTCTAAAAAATTTTGTAAAATTGAAATGCTATGGACTTTCTTCTTGCTATAGTTAAAACTCAGTAAACGGAATAGAACTTTGTCAATTCACTGAGTGAGAATTTCTTCTTAAAGTTCAGATGTGGATTCCAGAGAAACAAGCTGCCTCAATTTATCTTCTACTCTGTGGTAGATGAAGTAGATTGCACCACAACACAGAGGTGTTTGCTGTTTACTGGCTATGACGCTGCTTTCCTTTGAAGTTAATGAAGCTATATCTCCTTGGGTTACTTCTTATTTTCACACATGGTGGGCACTGCTCTCGAAGCTTAATGCATTATTCCTCTCAAACTGAAACACAATAAAGTCAGATTAAACTTTTATATTATGTATCTGGAAGGCTGCAATTATAACAGATCAACTTATGAAGCTTTAACATGTTATTAGTTGTCAGATGCAAAGTTAACTGTTTTTGATTAGTTGGTCTGCCAATCAGGATTTTGATAGATTTTATATTTTCTTCTTGAGGACTTCTCAAAATTTCAGAAAAGAATGTGACCCTAACTCTAAAAAAGCACTTCATTGCATCAAAGCATACTATATGTCATTAACATTTAAGGGATTTATTAATGTCAAAACATGAAATGAATTTAGGATGGAGAGTTATTCAGAATAATAGGGATGGCAGCTTATGAAAACCATCTTCTAATGACATAAAAAAGTGGTAATAGAGGTGTAAGGATACTAAAACTGACTTCAGCCAAATATGGACAACTGGAACAAATTAAAATTTCAGTCTTGTTGCTTTTTACCAAGAGAATAATGCTTACCTGTTTCTGAGTCGCAGTTTCTTGGGTTTGTCATACAGATGTTTGTAGTGGTCCAGTTGGTCCCTCCCCATCAGCCCCAAATGATAAGGGGCCGTGACCCCAGCCATGGGCACATTGGGGCAGTGGACGAGGAAGATGAAGATGGCGAGCAGACTGACCAGAGCACACATCATGCAGAAGCGTATGATGCCTCGACAACGCAAGTTCAGCCTCTTCACGATGTAGCCGCCTAAAAAAGTGCCACCGCCCCCTGCTGGTACCACCATGTATCCTTAAGGGGCACAGAAAAAAAACATTGTCAGAAATAAGTAAAAAAAATAAACAAATAAATATTTTGTCTTAGAAGTAGATTCACTTTTGAATAAAAAAACAAAAACACAGTGATCTGTGGCATCAACATAATTTAAAGTTATAGAAAATATCAATGGTCAGTGGTGAGCGCTGAAAATTTTGACTGGTCCTTTAAAGTTTTTGTCAAAGATATGAAACAACCTCAACCAGGTGAATGAAAATAATTCCCTTTTCATGTTTTCTATTTTAAGCTAAATGGAGTTTTGATTATCGCTGAAAATGTATCTGGTGAGTATAACAGTAACTGTAGCTAGCTTTTGCCCTAGTTACAGTTGGATAGGGGGAAAGTGATAGCTAAGATGAGAAGATGTAGACAAAGAAAGAGAAGAAGACAATGAACAGGGGCTCCTGAGAGTGTACAGTGAAACCAGGACTGGGAACAGAGACAAAGGATGTCGTAAAAGAAAGAAACTAAACTGAAAGAATGCATTCAAGTCCACTTTTTTGCTAAGAACAATGCACAGAAATACAGGATGGAATCTGATTCCTATTTCTCACTGGCTGTGAGAGAGTTTTAAGATAGTGGCACGCAGCTTAAAACTCTTTCCACATCTTTTTCACATATTAACTGGCATTTATCACTGGTGATGGCATGGTTACTTTGAAAAAGTAACTTTAATCTGACTACTGATTACTCCTTGAAACGGTAACTTAGTTCGATTACTGATTACTTGATTTGGAAAATAACTGAGTTAGATTAAAAGTAGCTTTTTTATTTACTTTCAGCAGCTGCTAACAACAATGCTCTGCCACCTGTGAAAATTACATTGATCTTTGCCAATACTTAATTGCAAGTTATTTTATAAGGATTACATCCTTATAATAGCCACTTCTTTGGTTGAACTGAAGGGGAGATTGTTTAATCCTTACAACTGTACAAAAAAACGTTAGCAATTTGTGCGTGTTTTTGTGTGTCTCTATTGTTTGGATTGCTTTTAGCTGTACAACTTTCCAAAGACATTCATTCGTGGCTGTTTTCACGCTTATTGCACTGTTTCTATCAGTTTCGATGTTTGCTATTTTCTGGAGCGCAACACGAAGCTTGACATCATGCAGAGGTCATATTAACTTGACATCAATAAAGACACAGTGGGACAAATGGATAGGGAGAGTCTAGCCAAAATGTCAGACAGATTTGGGGTTTATGTCTGTTTATTAAGCCCCAAAACCACAACCGGAAACTCATTAAATCTGCAAGCGTTCTCCTGTGAGGATATCTCTTATGTGAGCTGTTGTGATGAACTCCGGCTACAGTTGCATTGTGGCCTTGCAGCAACAATGTCTTGGGTCCTTCCTTACAGTTTGCTCCATTTGTGCGAACTGTATGGAGATTGGATGTTCTCTCTGTGCTTTCTACTCTGGATTCCTCCGACAGTCCAAAAACACTATTAACTATGTTTCCATGCAATCGTCCTGCAAATTTTGAGCACTCTTTTAAAATGCTTCATTATAGTAAATGCAAATCAGGCATGTTTCCCTTTACTGCTGTGAAGCCAATCAACCAGGCTGTGCAAAACCTTCATAAGATGTTGATGCGACTCATGATAATAAACAAGATGCCTACATCTGAGATGTTTAGCGTCGACTACACATCTTAGAAAAAATTGAGAGTCCTCTCCACCAATCACCAGCTCCAAAGGACGACTTAGATGTAATATTGGATGAAGCTCACAGGGAGTCCTGGGGCTGCGTAAAGGCAGCAGGAAAATGTGCCAGGAAAATGTTTGTTGATTGTACATTATCGTCACAGTTTTCAATCACAGTATCAGAATTACACATTTTCCTGATATTGTGCAGCTCTGGTACTCAGGAAGACAGAATGGTGGGTCAACATCAAATGGTAGTTTCAGAAGGTTCACTTATGCAACCAGGATGTTGCTGTTTTGCTTTATCGCATTAAATCCAACAGTAATACATGGCCAAAGGCCACCACTTCGAAATAGTTGTATTGTACATTACATTACCATGTTGTCTCTTAAAATGTTGCTCTAAATTGTCTAAATGTTAAATGTTCAGCTTTTTTTTCTTTCCTCTGTATGACCCTGTAGAAAAAGGTGCAATAGATCTTCAGTCCTGTCTGCAACACTTGTTGCCCCGTCACCTACCAAACAAGGTGGCAGCTTCAGATGCACTGAGACTGAACTGGGACTCCAAGAACTTTGGACCGAAGGTGGACATGCCTGCGATGAGCGTGGCCTCAGTGGCTCCCGCCAAACACAGGAAGAGGAAAGTCGGGTTCTTCAAGAGAAGCAGCACAGACCTGAAACAAGTTAGAGGAGATCGTCAGTGTGTGTGTTCTCACCGTGGGTAAATAAGCCCAAGCTTTATTTTTTAATTAAAACAGTCCGCAGTAATCTCCCCAGTGTGTAGACAGATAATCACTGCACTGGACCTAAAGATAAATAATCATGTTATGTAATGTTTTGGGTAATCCTAGCAAATCCCGAAAGAGACTCAGTAAGAGATGACGTCATTCTACGGGCTTATAGTAAGCACTGTTGTAACCTAAAGAGTCAGAGGTGTCTCTCACCTGCAATGCTCTGCTCTAATTACTGCTATGCAGAAGTGTCAGCCGTTTGAAACATTTTGTAAAGAATGTACTCATAAATGTTTGGAGTTTATATGCAGGACTGATAAACTTTCTCACAGATTTTTCATTTACTTGAGAAAATATTTGAATGTTAAGTACATCTTTCAAACTGTAATAATTCAATCAGATTCCACTTACAGTGAAAAGTAACCTGTCATTATCAAGCTCTTTTATTTCAGGGGTTTATGCATCAGGACTAAACAAAAGAGGTCTTGTTAGTAGAAGGTGCTGGGAGTATTTTGAACCTCAAGCATACAGAAATGCAGAACAAATTTAAAAATTGCCATGTTAAGCATGTCATAAATGAGGGGAAAAAAGCCATGGGAAGAAAAACAAACATAACCCGGCAACAGGGAGAGTAACATCAGCATGATCGAAATAAATTAGGACACAGGCTCACATACAACATACAACGCCAAGCAGCAATGGGCTCACAAGATAATACGTAGGCAAAAACACCATTTCCAAAGAAAGATTAGTCACAACTGGAAAATATTACTTTAAGAAAGTTTACTTATTTTATTTTTTTTATCTATTTCATTTCCCTGTGGGATCAATAAAGTATTTTTAGATTTGAATTTGAATTTGAAAGCCTGCAGACTGCACAGGAATGGATGGGTCACCTACAATTCTCTAGTTCATGCAATGCAATGCTGAGAAAAAAACAATGGCTCCATCTTAAACTATATAGGCCCCAGTGAGCATGTGACATAATAAAGTTCATGACATTAGAAAAAGACCAAATGAGCTTGTTTGTCTCTCTACAATGAACCTGGCAGGAGATCATGAGGTTTGGGAAGTGCCCATGTTCGGACAAAACCAAACATCCTACTAATACAAACACTTTGTGCCGTTTGTCAAGGCTGGTTGGGATTTCAGGATTTGGGGTTATTTTGTACTCATACTATCTGCACACTTTTTGTTATTGAATTGACCATGAATTCCTCTGCATAGCAGAATTTATTGTAGAGTCAAAAGTTATGTAAGTCTGTCTGGCAGCCAAAACATTTCATCTCATGAACCAGGTAGCATAACAGGACAATGATCCCAAACACCAAAAACAATGCTTAGCAAAAAATATTACTCTTATTTAGGTCAGCTTCAGACTTTCAAGTCCCTTTGGGACAACATATGTACCATTTTTTATTGATCAGAAGTCATATTAGCACACTAGGAAGTCAGATAACATCTACCAACAGCAGTCATTATTTATGGTGAGTATCTTTATTGTGTCATGTGGCCATCTTTCCTGAAAAGCTAAAAAGCTGGCAGGTTCCCACACATGAGTAGAAGATGACTCCAAAAATATTTGCTGTATCCAAATCAGACCCCTGTGTGGAAAAAACAATATATAATCTGTAGTAACAGGTCAGGCTTGAGACTCTGGCAAATGGCAAAGAGCAAAATCTTTATTTCAGTCGTTTGCAAACGGAGAACACACAGGAACCACAGCACAACAGCTGTACCTACAATGAGTTGTGATATATATTGTGAGAGCTGCAAGCTCTCACAATATATAGGACTCTCTATACAATGTGGTCACTAACAGGGTATAGAGAGAATGCAACATCCATTCTTAGGGTAAGTTAATTGTTCAGATGATAAATATCTTTGTTCAAAAATAGGTGCATATCCAAAAATCAGGTTTACTAATGGAACAATTTTGCATAACAAGAACATTATCAGACTTTGTATGTTCGCTCAGCACGTAGCCTTAGCTTGTGACATTTTAATGGAGGAATTTGTTAAGCCTTAGTGTTTATTCCATCTCACTACAATTACCTAACATGTTTATTGTTATCTGTTAAGAAACACTGGCGCCTGATTTTAGTTACTGACAACCTACTGAAACTTTTCCAAGGAGAAGTCAAAAGGAAACCTATCTAACTGATTCTTTAAAGACTCCTTGACCTACATGGTTTAACAGACTAAACAATACTAGTGTTAAATGACTAAAGAATTAAAATAAAATTCTTAAAAGAAATAATAACACAATTTTTCACACCTGTTTTAATTAGATCCCTACCTTGGCATGTCTCTGACTGATTTTCCAAACTGAGGGTCAGAGGCTGTATTGTGGCTTCCATCTTTCAGCTGGTGGGCCTCAGACACTCGCCCCGCCACATGCTCTTGGGAGCCTGCATGGGACCGGAACGAGTCATATTAGCCTACAATTGATATTTTTGTCTTCCCAAATCATGTCATAGTGTGTGAGAGGTGGAGTTTCCGTTTAGGATATTAAGCCAAAGTAGGTGTGATGAAGTGGTGGGTTTGAGACGTACCTGGCAGTTGTTGTGGGTATCCAAGGATGGGAACAGCTACCAGTAAAGCAGCTGCTCCTCCTGCTAGGAAGCCAATCCACCAAGCCCCAACCCAGTGAGGGTTTTCTGGAGTCATCTCTGTTCTGTAGCAAATAAAATGTTACTTATCATTTGACTTTGACCATGTTAACCACTACATGCCAAACTTCAAGTTTTTCTTACATAAGTATTGTTTTGCACAAGATTATAGTTTTTTGGGGTTTTTTCAGTTTTTTTCTGTTTTCATTGTTTTTCAAATGTCTAAAGGAGCATTTTGATTTCTGGTCAGCTTTATTTGTGTAAGTTCAGATAAGTGGATTAGCATATTTTTTATTGTTTTTTGCAAAAAGTATATTAAATATGTGTTATTTAAATAATTTTAAATTGAATTTATATTTCATTTAAAGAGCAAATGCCATCCTATTTTGAAGCCAGAAAACCATGGATACTGTAAAGTAACTTTAAGTAAACTGTGGATCATCCTAAGAGTTTGATTTCCGTGGCTGAAATCAGTCACTGTGCATTTTCACAATAATTTGACAGCTCCATTGTTGTGCCAACAGAGTTGAAGCAGAGTTGCTGGTAAGTTGAGGAATTATTTTTATTTATTTATTTATTTTTATAGAAAACTGATTTTTAGATGTTTCCCTTCACTGGTTTTACACAGCCAAGACTTACTTGTGTAAAGTAACCTGGTAACACATCATCATTTTCAGAAGCTTAAGGCATGCTTACGTTCTTTAACACCTAATTAAAAGAGAAGTAACTAGAGAGCATTAAGCCCAAATGGAACTGAAAATGTGTAAATGTGCAGGTTATGCTCTTTGTTATACTTCCTAGTACATTGTATGATAAATCTTTTTTTTCCAATCTTTGTTAGGTCATGTTACATGTTGTAATAACATACAATCAGTTGAAAACACAGTACAGTATTAAATACTCAATAAAATTCTGTTTTTTTCCCCTCCTCATTTTAATCCTGTGATATTGTTAGTCACTCAAAGTAGACTCACGCCAGATAAATCTCTGTGTAGATGTTGAGGAAGTAACCTCCCAGCAGGTAGCCTGCAGCAGGTCCCACAATAGCTGCTGTGTAGAAGATCCCTGGTGAGACAAACACCAAAGACACAGAGTCAGGGAGTGCCAGTACAACTACTTCCTGTTTCCTACTCACCTCCTGTCCAGCAGGTTAAAAGGCCCCCATTGTTCTTTTTATGAGCTCTGAATCAAAGGAGGAGTTATTTTTTAATTAAAGAAAACAATTTTGATTAAAAAGGCGTTCTGCATTGTGTGTGCTCGTGTTTGATGGGAAAAGGTTCTCTATATTCCAAAGACAATGTGGCAATTATTGGAAACAAGATAACGAGAGCAAATATTGTGTAAATTTGTTTGTGTGTAAATTCTTTGAAACTAATGAGTTCATTCATGGAGTTCAGTGATCACCTTCTGTTAGACCACTGCTGTTTGAATGAATGAATTAATGCACAAAAATGGATGCACATCATTTTAGGTACAAATGCTGCAGAAAATGATGCTATGAAAGCACATATATAAGCGATTCTGAATTCTATTTTCCACAACTCTCAAATCAAAGATTTTATAGCTTTTTGATTAAATGCTGCTTTAATCAAAAAGGATTAAAATTCCATTACATTATTTTTAACGTATGTGTACTCAGTTGTTAATGTCCACAAAATCATTATCAATAATATGCTGTGAAGTAGAAAAGGTTATCTCTACAGACAAATAAAAAAAAAAAACATGCACATTTTTCAGAAATTAGAATTTGTATCATTTAAGTAATAGAATAAAAAATACTTTTTTTTACACATGGACAGAAAAAACTTTCCTTTTTATGACATAGCTTTTTTTGTATCATGAAAGCATATTTATTTTGGTTTGTCAATTTACACAAATCTGTATTTGTTTTTTATGATCAGTTTTAATCAACGTAGGCTGTGTATTTGTTGCACACAAACACAGCACAGCGTCGTACACAACACTCACCCATGTAAACAGGTCCGTAGTTGGAGCTGACATTCTCATCCAGGTATGTGACCCCTAACGTGTACAGAGGGGTGGCGCCGATACCGTGCAGAAACTGTCCCAGCATGAACACAAAACGATAACTCGACAGTCCTCCTCCCTCCTTGTTCTGGCACTGGCTGGTACTGTTGGCAGAACACATTCCTATTTGCTCCTGCAAACTGACCAAGTAGGGAGGAGCAATGAAATGAGGCAAGGAGAACACCAAGGAACCCAGCGCCATTATGAGTATGCCCCATCCCAGCCAGCGGGGCTTGTGTCCAGTACCACCGAAGTAACTGACAAAGGCCAGGCAGACACAGGCAGCAATGTCATAGGAGCTGGCAATGAGACCGGCCTGGTAGCTGGGCAGGTCAAAGCGTCGCTCGATGGAGGTCACCACTGTGTTGATCAAGCCGTTGACTATCATTCCCTGGAGAAAAGAGGCCACACAAAGAAAGAACAGCACCCAACGAGGGGTGTTGAACACTTGGATGATGTTAGGCTTCAGAGCCCCCCAGCCGCAGAGTTGATCAGAGTCATTGGGTTTCAGAGTCAACCCCAAAGGAACCTCTGTATCAGGCTGACTGCTCTCTCCATATAACTGCCCCGGCAGCATCGAAGCCCTTGTGAAAATAAGGACTCCAGCAAGGTCATCAGCTCCTGACCCACCGGGGCTTCTAGGACCAGACCCTAGAGGGCTGCCTGTCTGGGAGTCCACAGGACTAGGGGTGTCCAAAGAGCAGCCCCCATTGAGGGGACAGTCCTGAAGGTCCAGGAGCTCCTGCCTGGAGCTAAAAGAGGCGTCGGCATTAAGCAACACTGGCATCACCCCTCTGAGGGGTACTTTGGAAGTCCTGTGAATTTTTCCCAACTTGAAATGGGAAAGAGATGTATTTTATGTTTAGCGGCCCTGAGACAAAAAGTTGAGGGGATATAGCTCCTGCCAATCTTCAGTTGGGCTCATCTCGTTTTTTTCTTCTCCTGCTCTGTAATGCCTTTGCTGCACAGCTCATGCATCCACAGTGATCAACGCCAATGTTTTACAGGGCTAAAGACTCACAAAAACTCTTCAAAGGTTTATCCACGTTAGGCGGTAGAAGACGGAGAGAGAGCCAGGTGAACGGACAAATTAATGGCATCCTGTAAAGAGAAAACAGCGAAAGTTAGGCAAAGTTGACAAATGATCAAACAAACAAATAAACATACACCATGTTTAGCTCTTAGGCATGTAACTTCTTCAAAAATTCAAGGACTAACTCAATCTCATCTTCCTTGTCCTTGATGGACACTTATTTGTCCTTCAAGGACAAATAAGTGCAAAGAGGCTGTTGCAGATATTTAAGCCCACTGAAGATCATATAGCAAAACATTTATAATGATTATAAGATCTGACCAAAGACTGACTTATACTCGCTAATTATCTATAGCGAGTATGTATGTATTGCCAGTATAATATATAGACTGAATGACTGATGAAACATTTTAACTGCTGAGTGCTGGAATCAGATTCAGGACTTTGTCAGTCTCACTGACCAAGTAGGGAGGAGCAATGAAATGATTGTCCAGTTTATACCAAAAATGGACAACTGGATACATCAAGTTGAGAGTATATTCTTGTTGTTTACAGGGCAATATGATTTCAATATCAGTTCTGAACAATTTTATTATCAGGGTTAAATTCAATCAGTCTGAACCTTTTGGTTCAGACTGATTGAATGCACAACACAAATGCACAACACAAATTTAACTCCACTTTTTAGGTTTTGACTTTTGGTCCTTGTGGAACAACAGTCAAAAAGATACAAACAAAAATATTAAGCTATGTTCTTAGAAGAGAGAAGTTACTTGGCATATTCAATATAAATTATGTATTCAAAACATGTAATAAAATACTTTTAGATTGTCCACCCATTCACAGGCGTGTAGGACTGAATTTTGAGATGGGAACTGCAAAAAACATGATTAAACTTTGGATTTTTAAAATGGAAAATACTATGTTCAGTGATTTTACCAGCTTCCCCTTCTTTTATCAAAAACTATTACTAACAACATACCAGTAGGTTGCAATAACATTTACAAAGAAATCATGCAAAAATTAAGTGAAGAACTAATTAAAGCCAAAAATTCTTCATGTTTCATCCTGAAACATTCCTATCAGGCTTTTCTTTGATAATTTTTTGCATTGCATAGAAGAAATTGAATGGAACATGGAACACTTTTAAAATCATAGTTTTTCTCAAAAAAAAAAAAATCCTTTTTTTGTGGACATCTGGTTCAACCACAGGAAACAATGTAAAATATGCTTTATTTTTATGTCTGCCATAAAAGATCCATTGTTATGTTTCAAAATATATGTGTCAGAAATGTTAGATTTGGACAAAACCAGAATTCAAAGCCTTCCAGGATTAGTGTATTTTGAGATAACCACTTATTCTGATCAGACTTTTAATATCCTTGTGTGAAAAAAAACAATATCTAATCTGTAGTAACAGATCAGGCTTGAGACTCTGACAAATGGCAAAGAGCAAAATCACAATATATAGGACTCTCTATACAATGTGGTCACTCACTGGCCCAGAGCCAGTCGAACAGGTTAATGTACAGTCACTCTTAATAGGGTATAGAGAGAATGCAACATCCATTCTTAGGTTAAGTTAATTGTTCAGATGATAAACATCTTTGTTCAAAAATAGGTGCATTTCCAAAAATCAGGTTTACTAATGGAACAGTTTTGCATAACAAGAACATTATCAGACTGTACGTTCACTCAGCACGTAGCCTTAGCTTGTGACATTTTAATGGAGGAATTTGTTAAGCCTTAGTGTTTATTCCATCTCACTACAATTACCTTACATGTTTATTGTTATCTATTAAGAAACACTGGCACCTGAGTTTAGTTACTGACAACCTACTGAATCTTTTCCAAGGAGAGGTCAAAAGGAAGTCTTTTGACCTCTCCTTGGAAAAGTAACTAAAATCAGGCGCCAGTGTTTCTTAACAGATAACAATAAACAGGTTAGGTAATTGTAGTGAGATGGAATAACAGACTAAACAATACTAGAGTTAAATGACTAAAGAATTAAAATAAAATTCTTAAAAGAAATAATAACACAATTTTTACTTCAAACTTGCAGAAGGAAAGCATGAAGCAAGCAATACATCTCAATCAATTAAGTAAAGGTGAAACGTAGACTGATGACTACATTCAAATCTACAGTAAAATAAAAAAAAATGTTTTTACGAAAACACAATGCTCCCATGTGTTTTAGTCAGTCATGTTGCAAATTAGCAACATGACTGACTGGAACATTAAAGAATAACTCAGAGAAAATTCCCCAGGTAGAACATTTGCCTGATACATGCACTGCTTGGACCGCTGAAAAGCTCATTGTGGGCAAACATTGAAACAAATTTCATCATCACCTAAATTTCATTGACAAACTGTGAAGCTGAAATAATTAACTGCAATATTTTCATAATGAATCAATAATAAGATAAATGTAAAAGTGTTTCTTACACTACATTTGGTACAATGATACACCTACACATTTAAAGTTTTACAGAGTGAACAACATATATTCCACAATATGTTCTCAAGCAGTGTTTTGATAAGTTCATTTATAGCTTTAGAAAAAAAGAATTAACAATAATGGTAGTTTCTTTCACTTTAGCCACAAACAAATACTGTGATGCAAATAGAAACACACAAGTTGGAGCAGTGTGGCTGTTTCCATCATATTAATCACAAGTACCAAGATTCACAATTTGAAATGCAAATAAAATTTCCATAAATATTTATCCTGTCTCCTACCTTTAGTTTTTTCTGTGATAAATAGATCTTGTGATGTTTAATAAGTAGAGAACATTTGCAGGAGAGAAGTGGAGAGAGGGAAAGTTGAAAAAGGCATCCATGCCCAGTGCTAAGCCTGTCTCTCAAAGCCTCTTATAAGTCTAACGCTGAGGCAGCACAGCACCAGATTGGCCTCAGTGTCCGTCCCACTGAACAGTCCCACAGGATGGGAGGAGTTCTCCTGGTCTACATAATCCTCTGGAGGAAAGAAAAAACAACTGCTCACCTGTGCTGGAACTTGTAACTAGAGCAATATGACACCAGTGACTGTCATGAGTTAGAGAAAAACAAGTAGGAAGTATTAAATGAACTCTATGTCATGTTGTTAGCAGCAAACAGGGTTATTGTTTTCTTCCCTCGCAAAATGAGGAAACTAATGAGCTAGCTCAAAGCCATGATGAGCAGTCATTAGTACAGAGACTGCCTGTCATTAGTCTCTGTACTAATGACCCCAGAACCCCTGAGAAGCAATGAATAAAGACATTCACATTGAAATCTGTGTTGTCTTGTTTAGAGGAACATAGTAGGGTCATAAGTGAATAACATGGGGGCAAATTAATAAAACTAAAGTTCAGAATGAAAAACCATTTTAGGCTGTGCATTATAACCAACTTCTAATGTCTGCCTGTATATCTATATATTGAAAATATTTGACTACGGACAGAATATTTTCTTGAAGGCCTATAAGAGTATTTTAAAATTTCAGTGCTGCCACCACATGTTTTGAAGAGAAACAGGCTTGTACTCTGCCCCATTGGAACAACCAATCACTTGGTAGGGTGGCAGAATTTGCCAATCATTGATCAATCATTGGCCAATGATTGACCAATCATTTATTGGCAGTGCTAATAATCAATATTATTGGTACTGCCCCTGCCAATAAGACAAATCAGAAAAGTCACTGGAGCCAACTGACAAGAACATCCTTTGGAAATGCCACCATCAGAGTAAATTATGCACCTTTGGGATTAGTATATATAAATGTTTCAGGTATATATAAATGTAGGATTTTAAGTACAAAAAATGGAAAATCATTCTATAAATGACTGGCAGAGATCTTCCCAACAACAGCAGAGCCAAATGAATGAGACGAGTTGCCTGCACTTCTACTGTGTGTTGAGCAGATCTCCTGTAATCAGCAGGTGGTTTAGAAGATTTAGGACAGTCAGCAATCTCTACAATCCAATTAAAATCATACTGACACATTAACAGATAAAATTGAGTTTGTTCGCCATTCTGTGGCAGCCTATATGAGGAAGATCCACGAAAGTAAATTCAAAAACTGAATTTACCTAAAACTCAAGCTGTGATTGGATGGGACGGCATCAGGGAGTGGATTGATATCAGCTGATGATGGGATGATTAGAAATGGGCGTGTCCTGAAAGGGGAACCAGGCCATTGCCCAAAACAATGCTCTAATATGAGGCAGCACCTTCCTGTCTCACTGTTTGTTGTTCTGAGGCCAGCAATGGAAATGTTCTCACAGGCTTTTTTTGGGGTCCAAATCTCCATCTTGCTGAGATCAGAGTGGGGAGTTGTAATATTAATAAGCACAGGGTTTTGCCCTTCCCACCAGCTCCTTTATCTACTCACAGGAAAGTTATTTACTTTGGAATTGGGAGTTTTTCCTCTGTGGTACACAAAGGCTTTTGAAGAATGAGCCCAGAAAGACTCCCATGCATAAATATATTAAGACAAAGTAAGGCTTTTGCTGTCAATCTGACTCAGAGATCACTTTAAATGACACTGCTGCAGTGAGATGTCACAAAACAGAATATTTATTGTCCTGGAATATCAATCTGGTAAAACTGGAGTGCAGGTCTGACTCTGGGAACAAGTTGCTGTGTTTGATTACTTCATTCCAGGAACCAGCTCTTTTATTCTAAAATTAGAAAAGCATCCATTCTCAAATGAGGCAAAATGGATTATATATTTGTCCCTGTTGACCCTGAACTCATTCTCAGGCCAAGGTAAAAATAATTTGATAGGACAAAGAATATAACAACTTTATTTACCTGTCTTCTTATTCACTGCCTATCCACCACTTAAAACAGATATGTTTTATTACATGATTTTCTAACAGATAGTTCATACAAAGAGTAATCTGTGACATTCCTCCTTAAGCAATCTCTCCAGAGTCTGATGTCCTCTCTGATACTTCCTTCTCTTCAGCAGGATTTCTGTCTGCAAACTGAACATCTATTTTCAGTTTTGTGACTGAGGCCAACTTCTTTTTTTGAAAATCTGCTCACATTGTCAAGGTCTCATAAAGTTAGACACTGAAATGGT